ACACACACACACACAAAACCCCAGTTGGTAAACCACACATATACACATATACAGTTGAAGAAACCAAGAGCTGATAAGATTTTGTAACAATGACAATTTTTATATAACATAGTCCAAATTCACATTTTGGTACTTATACAAAGTCATGTGCTACAACTGAAAAGATGCTTTGCTCATTAAAGTCCCTGAGTCTCTCCAGTGACATCACAGAAGCCCTGTGGAAAGACAGGCTTCATCTTATAAATTCAAAGGCTCTGTTACAAATGTAAAATATATACACATGTATTTGCTCTTTGATAATACTTTATCACTTGTTTTCAAATCCTGGGTTTTGCTGCAGACATTGCTCATTCTTTACATTCAAAAGCCCTCTCTTGGCTATGTATTCTTACATGTCTAGTGAGGGCTGAGGGCCAGATAAAGGCTTGCCTACATTCTTTGCATTCATAAGGCCTCTCTCCTTTGTGAGTTCTTAAATGCTTAGTCAGAGCTGAGGAACAACTGAAGACTTTCCCACATTCTTCGCATTTATAAGGCTTCTCTCCACTGTGAATTCTTAAGTGTTTACTGAGGGATGAAGACTGACTAAAGGCTTTCCCACATTCCTTACACTCAAAAGGCCTCTCTCCACTGTGAATTCTTATATGTCTCGTGAGGACTGAGGGCCAACTAAAGGATTTCATACACTCCTTACATTCATAAGGCCTCTCTCCCCTGTGAGTTCTTATATGGCTAGTAAGGTGTGAGGGTCTGCTGAAGGCCTTCTGGCACTCCGTACATTCATAAGGCCTTTCTCCTTTGTGAGTCCTCACATGTCTATGGAAGGGGGATGTATCACTGAAGGACTTCCCACATTCCTTACACTTAAAAGGCTTCTCTCCACTGTGAATTCTCTTATGTGTGGTGAAGGATGAGGAATAAAAAAATGCCTTCCCACATTCCTTACACTGATAGGGCTTCTCACCACTGTGAGTTCTCAGATGAGTAGTAAGGCTCGAGGACCTGGTAAAGTCTTTCCCACATTCCTTACACTCATAACGCCTTTTACCACTATGAGCTCTTAAATGTTTCCTGAAGAATGAGGAACAATGAAAAGCCTTCCCACATTCCTTACACTGATAGGGCCTCTCTCCACTGCAGAGTCTTCCATGTTTCCTGAGGGATGAGGAGCAGTGAAAGGATTTCTCACATTCCTCACATTCATAAGGCCTCTCTCCACTGCTGGGATTCCTTAAATCTTCACTGAGACATGAGGCACTAAGAGCTTTCCTCCTTTGAGGTTTTTTATGTTTAGTGAGGGTTAAGGTGTCATCAATGACTTTCCTGAATTGTTTTTGCTTATATGGTTTTACTTGTCTATGAGTTCTTCTCTGTGCAATGAAAGATGAGGAACAGCCACAGGTGATGCCACACTCCTTACATTTATGCAGTTTCTCTCCAGTAAGAGTCTTCATGTGAGTTCTTGGGTATGAAGAACAATTGCAGGCCACTCCACATTCCTTACACTGCTGGGTACTGTATGCAGTGTGAGAAATGATAAGATGACTGAATGATGAATGATCCAAGAGAGTTTCTCCAAGCTTACAGCGTTCGGAAGAATATACTCGAGCAAGAATTCTTTTGAGCCGGATGAGATTTGCATTCTGGCTGAAAAGCTTCCCACATTGATTATCGTCTTCAATTTTCTTTATGTTATCTCCTTTATTTCTTATGTTGTCTTCTGTACTTTTAGTGAGGCTCTCTACTGCATGCTTTCTGTTAAAAAAACAAGCAGCATGGCATTAGTCAATTTTATAACTGTATAGAACCACGAACAATCAGAGGAGACAGGGTGCAATGTAGAATGGATTGATGTTATGTGCCATCAAGTCGCTTGCGACTCATAGCGACCTTATGTACAACAGCCATAAACCCTGCTCAATCCTGTGCCAATCACACTGCCTCTGACACACCCATCCCGATTAACCCAGTCACTGAATCAATCCACCTCATAGAGGGCCTTCCCCTCTTGCGCTGTCCCTCCATCCCTCCAAGCATGATGTCCCTCTCCAAGGACCTGTCCCTCCTTACAACATGTCCAAAGTATGTCAGACGAAGCCCCAGAATGCTTGCCTCCAAGGAGCAGCCCATTTTAACCCTCTCCAGAGTGAATCTGTTTGTTTTCTTGGCAGTCCATGGTACATTCAATACTCTTCTCCAGCACCACAGCTCAAAGGCATCAATTCTCCTTCTATCCTCCCTAGTCATTGTCCAACTCTCTGATGCATAACAAGTGATTGCGAAGACCAGAGCCTGTATCAGATGCACCTTAGACTCCAGTGACACCATTGTTCTTCAGTACCCTGGAGAGGTCCCTAACAGCAGACTTTTCCATCACAATAAGTATTTTTTTATTTCCTGGCTACTGGTGCCAAGAGTGTTGACTGTGGAGCCAAGCAGACTAAAGTTGTTAACAATCTCAATCTCTTCACCATCCATCCTGATGGATGGATTAGGTTACTAACCAAACAAAAGGTCAGCACTTCGAGTCCACCAGCTGCTCAAGGAAGAAAGATGGGTCGTCTCCTCCCAGAAAGATGTGCAACCTCAGAAATTCAAGGTGAGGGTGGGAATGGAGTGTCTCTAAACTGCAATCAATTTGGTTGATTTGGCTTTTGATTTCTATATGGCAAATATGAAAGTACTCTGCCTTGAGTTGTATCATGCTGACTGGGTTGAAACACCTCACAAAGGGTAATTTTATTACCCTGACTCATTACTATTGAGTTGATTTCAACTCATTGTGATCCTACAAGACAGAATAAAACTGCTGCATAGGATTTGGAAGGACCAGTCCCTGGGAGAAGGACATTATGCTTGGAAGGGTGGAGGGACAGCGGAGGTGAGGATGAGATGGATTGATACAGTGACTGGGACACAGGAGTTGGTGTGTCAGAATTAGTGAGACTGGCTCAGGACAGGGCAGGTTCAGAGGTGCTGTACATAGGGTCACTATGGGTTGCAGGTAACTTGATGGCACATAACAACAACAATAAAAGCAATCTTTTCAGAAATAGACTGTCACATTTTTTCCTGTAGAGTGGTGGGTGGATTTGAACAACTGACCTGTGATACAGTAGCTGAATAAAACCCATCGTTTTATCAGAGCTCTCATGCTATGCTAGTTCTTGTTGCTGCTGTTGAGTTAAGTTAGTCTAACTCACAGCAACTTTATGTACATCAGAACAACACACTGCCTGCTCACGTACCATTATCACCATTTTTGTTATGATTAAATCCATTGTTAAAGTTATCTTGTATCAATCATCCAGCTTCTATTTTGCTGATTCTCGACTTTACTACCGTGAAATCCTTCTCCAGTGACTGCCTTCTCCTGATACCAAGTCCAAAGCATGCTATTGGGACATTACTAAAGAATAGCATTATCCGTTAAGTGTGTACAAGTGAAATGTATCCGAAATATTCGTTATATAATTAATGTTCAGGGAAATGTGCTGTTAAAATTATGTGAACATACTCTTAAGTGCAACCCACAAGTTCTCTCAGTATAGTCAGTTTGAGGACTAAGGTGTGCCTGATTCAGGCCATGGTCTTTCCAGCCACTTGCTATGTATCTGAGAGCTGGACAGTGAATACAGATTACAGAAAAAGAATGGATGCCTTTGAGCTGTGGGGTCAGGGAAGAGTACTGAACATTCCATGGATTGCCAAAAAGAACAAACAAGTATATCTTAGAGAAGGTGCAGCCAGAGTGCTATTTTGGTGGCTAAAATGATAAAGCTTCACTTTACATACTCTGGCATGTTTCTAGGAGAGGCTGTTTCTTGGAGAGGGGCATCATGCTTGGAAATGTGGAGGCCCGGAGAAAGAGAAGACCTTCAACAACATCGGCTGACACAGTGACTGCAGCAATAGGCTTAAATGTGTCAGAGATTGTGAGGATGGCACAGGATAGGACAGCATTCAAATCTGTTGTTCAAAGGGTCACTATGAGTTGTACTTGATTCGATGACACCTAACAGCAACAGCAACAACAACAACTATTTAGTTATAATTTCACACCCGTACACATATATACACACACACCCCATTACCTTAAGACTCTTTTGAGGAAATGCTTATTTTCATGTGAATTATACTCACCTCACATGCTTCCCCTGGTGGTTGTGATCTTCCATACCATGGAATTCACGTATTTCTTCTAACATTGAAGACCATGACTCATCCTTTATGAATCTCAGTATCTCTTCATTATTATCCTGTTGAGGAACTGACCCAATCATTTTAAGTGGCATTTTATAATATAAAACAAATGGGAAATTGAATCAGGAGTAACGTATCTTTGAGTACAGAAAGACTAAGGACGACACAGGACAGTGGAGGATTCAGGTCAGCTGTTCATAGGGTCACTATGAGTGTACTCATCAGCACTTAATAATAACAACAACAAAACAAATACAGAAACTACTAAGAATTAATTCCATAACAAGGTGATTATGACATACCTATGTGAATAGAAGTTCAGCCTTCTCAAACCAAAATAAATTTTGTTGAGTTGATTACTCAGATATAATTCTCTTCACGCAGGGCTTGTTCTTCAAAGGATTCTTGCCTACCTGGTGCTCTCTGAAACAGTGGCTCTGGGAAAGTCTTAAGCCCACTCTTAGAGTTTCCCCTAAATTAACAAATGGTTGTGTGAACTGAGTACTAACAGGAAAGGTATAGATCATGAATGAATACAGCAGAGAGCAAGAATTTCCTAACTGGGTCAGCATTTGGTCTCTAAAGTCTCTATTGATGGATAGTTTTGAGTTTATTTATGATAAATTAAACACATCTAATTTGTAATATGACAATGAAACTCCTGCAAGGTGTCAGAAAGAAAATCTTGACATCAATTTATAATACTTAGGAGTTTATAATTCTTGGGAGTATGCAAAAGATATAAAGGCAGTTTAATAGACAAATCTTTGTTTTCAGAAGGAAGACTCTAGAACTAAAGTTCCATGATTACACTGAACTATCTATCACTTTTGCGTGTAGTCCGTTAACTCAGCCCAAATTCTGGAACAACGCTGATGAGCACAATATATTTAATCTCGAGAGTAAAAACTAGAAGAACTGAAGTCCACCTTACCAATGGAGGCCAGGTTCCCGAAGATTTCTCTCATCACATCTCTGTAGAGTGTCCTCTGAGCAAAATCCAGCAAAGCCCACTCTTCCTGGGAGAAGTCCACAGTCACATCCTCGAAGATCACTGCGTCCTAAAACACCCAGACATGCAGATCAGCAAGGTGTCACCTTTCCCATTGAAAACAAAGGCAGACGCGGCTGGCAGTCCAGGGTGACGATGAGTTCACAGAAAGATTACACAGCATTCATGTTAAGATCTACTGAAGAGTTTGGCCACCAGCTGCTCCTCTCACATTTATACATTTATACGAGAATGTCCTATTTTTACAATGGCTATAATAACAGCCCTTTTATTTGTTAAAAATGAAGAAAAAGAAAAGATTCCTATTCTTGAAGCATGTTAAGTATAGAGACGTTAGCAGTTAATTTACTCAAGAATTCTAGGAAAAATTATATAGCATCCCTCTGGAGGCTCTACTTAAAATGGTCAGACATAATAAGCAGCTGTCTGAACTACCAGTCAGTCCTGCTATGACAGAGACGGATGGCTGTAAGAACTAGAAATTTATTCTCTCACAGTTTAGGATGTTTTATTGTTGCTGTAGTTGAGTGGGCTGAGACTCATAGCAACCCTGAGAACAAAAGACCTGAACCCAGCCCTATCCCGTGCCACCCTCTCCTTCCTGACACCCTGAGTTCACTGCTACAGTCACGGTGTCAATCCATCTTGCTGAGCACCTTCCTCTCTTAAACTGACCCTCCACCTTTCCAAGCATAACGTCCTTGTCCAAGGACTGGGTCCTACTAACAACAGGCCCAAAGTCTGTGAGATGAAGTTTCACCATATCCTTGGTTCCCAGGGATCACTCTGGTTTCACTTTCTCCAAGAAAGACCTTCTGAGGTTACAAGTCTCAATTTATGAAGCCTACGAACAAGCGATCTGAATCATGTCCTATCTGGGGCCATCCTCATCTGTTACACCTGAGCCCACTGCTGCTGTTACTGTGTCAATCTGTCTCATGTAGGGTCTTCCTTTCTTCTCTGACCCTCTTCCTTACACCAAACATGACGTCTTACAACATGCCCAAAGTATGTGAGATGAAGTTTTACTGTCCTTGCTTCTAATGAGCATCCTGGTTACACTACTTCCAAGACATATCTGTATGTTCTTCAGTCAGTCCATGGGATGTTCAGTGCTCTTCACCAACACCACAATTCCATTCCTCTTATGTCACCCTTATTTATTGTACGGTTCTAAAACGCGTTGCAACTGACTGAAAACTGCATGAAAGGCACACCTTAATCTTCAAAATGACATCACTGTTCCTCATTGTTATTGTTGTTAAGTGTCGTCGAGTCACAGGTGACTCACAGCGACCCCATGAACGAAAGTCCTCAACACTTGTGTGACTTTCATCCTTTCTCCAGGTTCATAGGGTTTCCCGAGGCAAGCTATTACAGAAGTGGATGCCACTCCTGCTTTCAAGCTTGTTTTAATTGGGAGCTCCACCCCACTCTGTCCCCCATGGGTAACCATTCTCGCATTTGACACATGAGTGTCACAGTGTTCAGCTTCACAGCAACCACAAGTTACTTCTGTGTGGTAAGTGTTTTGCTCCTCCGTAAGCTCATTAGAAGACAGATTTCTAAACAAGGACCACAGAATGCTTACTTCAACCTTTACCACAACTCAGCAGGGATCCTGTGTAACAACAGGGGATTAAAAAGGAAAGATCTTCAGGTTTAAGATCTTATGTAAGAATTTTCTAAGAAAGCTCAAAGACAAGAGAGGTGAGAAATTTGGAGGCAGCAAAGGAAATTCTGGCCTCTCACACCTATAGAATTACATCAAATTCACCTTAACTTTAAGCTAGACAGACATAAAAACCATATACAAAAGGCTTATTTGACAGTATTTTTTACACACTACAACATGTCTTATTGTCAGTAAAAAAAATTACAAAGCATACTAAAAGCACAGTATGACTAGACAAAGTAGATAGGAGCAGAACCAGATTCAAACACAGTTGAAATACTGGACTAAATAGGCAGGACATTAAAACCATAAGACCTACAGACTCTTGGCCCTCGGATTAGTGGTGAAACTGGCTATGGCCTCTACCTCCAAAAAGACTGAACTACTCAAATTTCACTCGAGAGAACTTGTTAAGTGACGTTGAGTGGCAGGCGACTCATAGCGACCTTATGAAGGAAAGTCCTCAACACTTGTGTATCTTTCATCCTCTCTCCAGGTTCATAGGGTTTTCAGAGGCAAGCTACTTATGACGTGGATGCCACTCCTGCTTCCAAGCTTGTTTTAATTGGGGAACTCTACCCAACACTGTCCACCCTGGGCAACCAACCATTAATGCATTTGACACATCAGAGTCACAGTGTTCAGCCTCAGAGCAACCACAAGTTACCGCTGTATGGCAAGGGACACACCCGGGCTATATGACCTAGAGAACTTAGAGAACTTAATTTAAAAAACGTTTTTTGACACACCAAACCACAGATCCATAAGCTCAGAGAATAACAAACAAGATAAAGTAAAAAACCCTTTCCATCTGGACATTTCTTACAGGAGATGCATAAAATCATATTGAGGAAGAAACTCCTGAGGGAAAACAGGTGGAGAAGTACTTCATCTAAACAGAAGCACTGGAATGACTGCACAATTTCATCTTGTGCAGATCCACAATCAACACCCTTGGTACGAGCTGTCCAAAGATCAGGAGATGAATAGCATTGGGGAAAATCTGCTGGGAAAGACCTCTCCAAAGTCCTGAAGAGCAATGATGTCAGTTTAAAGACTAGGATGTGGCTGATTCAAGCCATGGTCTTTCCAATCTCCTACTATGCATCGGAGAACTGGCAGTGCGTAAGGATGACAGAACTGATGTCTTGGAGTAGTGCTGCTGAAGAAGAGTGCTTGAACAGCCCATAAACTGCCAAAAGAACAATTAAATATGCCTTAGAGAAAGTGCAACTGGAGTGCTCTTTGGATACAAGGCTGGTGACGCTTTGTCTAACATAATCTGGGCATGTTTGTTAGGAGATGCTATTCCTTGCAGAGAGAGATTATGCTTGGAAAGATGGAGGGTCAGTGAAAGAGAGACAGACTCTCAACGAGACAGACTGATACATGTCTGTAGCAGTGGACTCAAGAGCGTCAGAGATGATCAGGATGGTACAGGACAGGATAGAGTTCAGATCTGTTGTTCAAAAGGTCGCTATGAGTCATGCTCAAGTCAACAGCATGTAACTACCACCACCAACCAACCACCACCACCATAGACGAGCAGGAAAATGATACAGGTCAGAAATTTGGATACATAAAGGAAGAGCTTAGAGAAGATGCAAATGAAGGTAAAAGAATTTTTTTCACATTTTATTAATTTAAGAGGTAATACTTTACTACTAATAATAGCCACAACAGACTGATTATAGCTCATGGTAAGAGACATGAAGGACAGAAAATACTACAAAGTACCAAAGGGAGCTACAAAAAACTACAAAACAATGTACAAAAATGAGGTTAAAAAAAAGTACAAAACCATATATATTTTTTTTAAATTTAAATTTATTATTAATTTCAGTAAAAATTTAGAGAGACTTTGAATTTCCATTCATTCACTGTTGCACATCTCTTCCCTCCCAACCCTCCCCCCCACCCCCCGAACACTACCCTCTTGGAAAAGTAAAAGAAAAATTCTTTGTTTTACAAACCCTCCCCCAGGTCCACTCCACCACGTAGCCTTCGCTCTAGACTCCTGTCATGACAAAAATACCTAATCACATATTTTGAACAGTTTTCTCCCTCATCTGTTGCAATGCAGTATATACATTATTGAACCCATCTTTCTCAGTCTCTCCCCAACCCCAAGGTCAGTCCTGTTTCATAACAGTGGCACCATGCAGTATTTGTCCTTTTGTGACTGTGATACTTCACTCAGCATAATTTACTCCAGAGTCACCCAGTTTGAATAATATTGCATGAGTTCCTTGTTTTTCAATGCAGCATAGTATTCCATTGTGTGAATATATCCATTTGTTTGTTAATGGGCACTTAGGTTGTTTCCAACTCCTTGCTATTGTGAACAAAGCCGAGATAAATATGGGTGTGCATATATCTGCTTGGGTGGCAGTTATGGTCTCTTTGGGGTATATTCCCAGTAGTGGAATTGCTGGGTCAAATGGTATCTCTATTTGCAACTTTATGAGAAAGCACCATACTGCCTTCCATAGTGGTTGCACCATTTTACATTCCCACCAACAGTGAATAAGGGTTCCAGTTTCTCCATAACCTCGCCAGCATTTGTTGCTTGCTGTTCTGTTAAATTTTGCTATTCTGACTAGGGTGAGATGTTATCTCATAGTTGTTTTAATATATATTGTTTTTTTAAAAAACATTGAGTCAAGATTTACAAATCATACTGACTTTTCAGTCATTCAGAAACTTTGTTTTCTAACATTACCAATTATTAATGCAATTAATTTATTACAATGTTTAATCAACCTCTCATCCTGTGTTGCCTTTCCTTTCACTCCCCTTATCTATTCATTTTTACTTCTCCCTCTTTTACCATCCCACTTATTCTTCCAAAATTACTGTGTGCAAACCTTTCCTTAGCTTTTTTTTCACTTTAAAAAATTTCATTTTTGCCTATTTTCTCTCTCCATTCCTTCACCCCACAATGCATCCCTTGTTCCAAACTGTTCTCATAATCATGTATTTCTTTAAAACTGTTCTTCTACTCATCTATTTTAATACTGTGTTCATTATCTATCCACTCTCTCCCCACTTCCTTTCTAAACCCCCATGTCTGGCCTATTTTATAACAGCAGTGTTATGTAGTCCTTTTGTGATTGAGATATTTCACTTAGCATAATGTCCTCAAGGCTCACCTATGTTGTATGTTTTACTAATTCATTGTTTTCCAATGTTGCATAGTATTCCATTGTGTGGATGTATCACAGTTCTTCTACTCATTTGTTTATTGAAAGGTACTTGGGTTGCTTCCATTTCTTTGCTATTGTGAATAATGCAGCAATAAACATGGATGTGCATACATTTGTTTGAGTTGTGGTTCTTGTTTCTTTCGAGTATATTCCCAGCAGTGGAATTGC